TCGCCGTCGGCCTGGGGCTTCGGTAAGTCCTCCGAGCCCTCCGCCGCTGGCGCCTCTGCAGGTTGAGCCTCTGGTGGAGGGGCCGCTTCGCCTGCCTTGCCCTTGCGCTTCTTGGACATCCTGTCCGTGATGTCCTGCTGGTACTTCTTGGCCTGCTCGAGCCACTGTGTGATCTCCTTCTCTTTACCTTCCAACAGGCCACGCGTGTTGAGAAGGTCTTGCTGGAGTGTCTGCAGTGCAGCTCGCTCAGGCTCCGTGCAATCCATCTTGTCCAGGCCCGCAAAGAAGGTCTCGTCCCACACAAGCTTGAACATGGGTCCCTTCTGCTGGCTCTGGCTCTGCGTGTTCGTGTTGACGTCGTGGACGCCCTCTGCCATGGCCACCGCCCGAGCCGCTGCCGTCTTGGCCTCCTTGGCCCCAGCCAGGCGCAGGGCGGCCGCCTCCTCCTTGGCCTCCGCTGCCTTCAAGCTGGCGCGAAGGCGGAGGACGGAGGCCACGGCTTGCTCATGCACGTGGTCCGCGTTCTTGAAGGCCCCGTCCGCTCTCTTCATGGCATCGACGGGGTTGGCTGCAGACGGCGGCGGGTCGCTCTGGATCCGTGTGATCTGCGCCTTGAGGGCGTTCTGCAGCTCCTTATCGTTGGTCGCTGCCAAGGCCTTGCGCAAGTGCTGCGAGACCTCAGTGCCGCCGCCCTTGCCGCTGCGTTTGACGCCCGACGGGGATGGGGCTGCGACTGCGTCGAGCCGACCTGCTGCCGCCGCCGCCTCCCGTGTCGCTGCTGGGCTCCTCCTCGCACTCATGGAAGTCCTCAAAGTCATCGGCCTCCGTGTCTAGGTCGAACCTGACCGTGCCTCTGACTGGCTTCTTGTATAGCATGAGAACGGTCTGGCAGCCTGGGCACTTCCGCTGGTTCATGCTGAGAATCGAGTTCCACTCGCAGCGCTTGCATGTGTCGCACCTCGTCCACGGAGGCGTCGACGTCGACATGCCGCTAACAAGTGTGCTGGTCCGTGCAAAACCTCTGTCTTGGTCGTGGCCCCAGTGGTGTGGCTGACACCAGGGCCAAGTCCCTCAAGCACCACGTGGAGGTGCAGAGGACCTGGGGGACGGCAAAATGCTCGAGCCCAAGTTGCTTGAGAGGAGGGGGAGGAGGAGGAGGAGGAGGAGGAGGAGGAGGAGGAGGAGGAGGAGGAGGAGGAGGAGGGGGGAGGAGGGGAGGAGGAGGAGGAGGAGGAGGATGGAGGAGGAGGAGGAGGAGGAGGAGGAGGAGGAGGAGGAGGAGGAGGAGGAGGAGGAGGAGGAGGAGGAGGAGGAGGAGGAGAGGGGGAAAGAGGAGGAGGGAGGAGGAGGAGGAGGAGGAGGAGGGGGAGGAAAGGGGAGGAGGAGGAGGAGGAGGAGGAGGTGGAGGAGGGGGAGGAGGAGGAGGGAGGAGGGGGAGGAGGAGGAGGAGGAGGAGGAGGAGGAGGAGGAGGAGGAGGAGGAGGAGGGGGAGGAGGAGGAGGAGGAGGAGGAGGAGGAGGGGGAGGTGAGGAGGAGGAGGAGGAGGAGGAGGAGGAGGAGGAGGAGGAGGAGGAGGAGGGAGGAGGAGGGGGGAGGAGGAGGAGGAGGAGGAGGAGGAGGAGGAGGAGGAGGAGGAGGAGGAGGATTAGGTTAGGCACGCCACTAGACCCGCCACCCCGAGCAGGCACAGAAGCCCCCACTCGACATGGCGAGCCCGTGGATTTCTCTCAGTCATTTCCACCGCCGCTCGCCGGCCCTCTTGCCAGCGAGGGCCCACTCCTCGGTGCCAGCACTGGCACACAAGGGTTCACGTCGGGCCTGCGAGCGGCGGCGGCGGCGTCAGGCGCACAGGGCTGCGCCTGCGACTCGCCGCTGGCGGTGTACTCCACGCCGTCCTCCTCGTAGAGCTCCAGCTCGAAGTACACATTGCGGCCTAACCCCTCGTCGCGCAGGGGAAAATTGTGGCCTAACCCCTCGCCGCGCAGGGGAATGACGCGGCCTAACCCCTCTCCGCGCTGGGGTTGGTGGCCTAACCCCTCGCCACGCTGGGGGAGCCTACGGTCTAACCCCTCACCGTGCTGGGGATCGCCTGGCCCCGCAGTCTCGCCCTGCGAGGGTCGGCTGCGGTCTAACCCCTCACCGCGCTGGGGTGCGACGTACTGCATTCCGTACTGCTCCCTCTCCTTGACGCGGTCTAACCCCTCACCGCGCTGGGGTGCATTCCTCCACTCGGAGCGGTCGTCGGGCTGTCCCTGGCTCGTGGAGATCGGGTCGTGGTGCTCAAGGGGCCGCGCCCCCACTATCTCCTGTCCATCATGACGCCGCCCTTCGACCCTTTGTTCTCCTTCGCCTCGAAGGAGTCTTTCCTCGTCGATACGGCCTAACCACTCGCCGTGCTGGGGTGCAGCGTCGTCGTCGTCCTCGTAGAGCTCGAGCTCAATGTAGTCGCCTGCCGCGGCCCTGGCTAACCTGCTCGAGCACGCCAGTGTATGTTCCCATCGGCCTAACCCCTCGCCGCGCCGGGGAGCATCGTGGCCTAACCCCTCGCCACGCAGGGGAACATTGTGGCCTAACCCCTCGCCACGCGGGGGAAAAACGCGGTCTAACCCCTCACCACGCTGGGGTTGGTGGCCTAACCCCTCGCCACGCAGGGGGAGCCTACGGTCTAACCCCTCACCGTGCTGGGGATCGCCTGCCCCCGCAGTCTCGCCCTGCGAGGGTCGGCTGCGGTCTAACCCCTCACCGCGCTGGGGTGCGACGTACTGCTTTCCGTACTGCTCCCTCTCATTGCTGCGGTCTAACCCCTCACCGCGCTGGGGTGCTTTCCTCCACTCGGAGCGGTCGTCGGGCTGTCCCTGTCTCGTGAAGATCGGGTCGCGGTGATCATGGGGCCGCGCCCCTACTATCTCCTGTCCATCATGACGCCGCCCTTCGACCCTTTGTTCTCCTTCGCCTCGAAGGAGTCCTTCATCGTCGTTACGGCCTAACCCCTCGCCGTGCTGGGGTGCTGTGCCGTCGTCCTCATCGTAGAGCTCGAGCTCGATGTAGTCGCCTGCCGCTGCCCTGGCTAACCTGCTCGAGCACGCCAGTGTATGTTCCCATCGGCCTAACCCCTCGCCGCGCTGGGGAGCATCGTGGCCTAACCCCTCGCCACGCCAGGGTCCCTCACCCGCTGGGCTTGATGCTGCCGCCGATGCGCTTGTCGCCGTGACTTCTGTGTACGTCCTTCTTCTTGTAGGTGCCGTGGCATCCGTGCTCCCAGCCGTCGTCCGCTCAAGCCTGCAGCACCAGCTGCCGCGACTGAGGCCAGCCTCCACGGGGTCTCCTGCTTGATGATCGTCATCTGATTCAGGGCGTCGTGGGGGTGGCGGCCTTTGTCCGTCTGGCGCCCGATCTCCTAACGCCCTGCGGAACATGTCTCGTAGCCGTGCAAGTTCACGCCGATGCCGATGAGCCAATCTGCGATACTCTTCGGGTTCTGTCTCTGGCGCATGGAGTCGCTCGTAGAACTCATCCCTTCTCGCCGTTGTTTGTCTCCACGCACTTCCGCACTGCTGCTCGATGATATGTTGCATCGTCTGCCCTGGGAACCAGCGCCTCAATGTGCGGCACAGGGGGTGATTGTTCTCGTCGGTGAGCATCTGCGTGAGCATCGCTACGCACCACTCCTGCCAGCTGTCGCTGTCTCTGGCCAAGCACGTAAGATCGTCGTACCACAGTGTTGCCCATTCTCTAAGATCAGCACGCATGTCGGCATAATCTTGTGGCCCCATGTCCTCAACGATCGGCGGTAGTCCCATCGCGCCTGGAACTTGATCAAATACTGCATTGCTGTCGTCCATCCTGCAATTGTCGTCGTGGTTATGGCTGTACACTACGTTCTGACTCCCCCCACGGTCGGTATTTTCAGCACTCGTGGCCAAAGGGGCTGCGTGCATCCAGTGCGTGCCGTGGGGGGCAGATTCCGATCCAGCCGCATGACGACGAAGTGTACGGTCTAACCCCTCACCGTGCTGGGGGGGAGGAGGAGGAGGAGGAGGAGGAGGAGGAGGAGGAGGAGGAGGAGGAGGAGGAGGAGGAGGAGGAGGAGGAGGCGAGGTGGGGGGAGGAGGAGGAGGAGGAGGAGGAGGAGGAGGAGGAGGAGGAGGAGGAGGAGGAGGAGGAGGAGGAGGAGGAGGAGGAGGAGGAGGAGGAGGAGCGTCCTGTCTGGGGTTCGACGAGGAGGATACTTGGACAACAAAAGAAGTGGCTGCTGCTGGAAAGCCTCACACGGAACAGCAGGGGAACCGAAGCGGGAGCGGCAGAACATGGAGGGAAAGGACGAGAATGGAGGTCAGATGGATGAGGGGAAGGGATATGTGGAGAAAGTCGGAGGGTTGCAGAGTGGAAGTGGAGGGAGCGAATATGAGGGATGCAAGGAGGACGACAGGCAGGACGAGGAGTATAGACGATAATTGCATTCCAACGCGCAATGACAACAAATGACAGCACGTACAACATGAACAATACCCCTTCGAGCACGACCACCTCACCACAATTCGAGTCCTCTGGGTCCGCTCTTCAGTGAAAAGGTCCACGCATACGTCACCAACGAGAAAGAATCTGATACACTGAGGAATGGTGGGCGCATGCGGACTGGTTCACTGACAAGATGTGCCTTGCCACGTCCGCCCAATCATCTTCTCCGCGACATCATTACTTTACTCTCTTCCGTCCGCCGCCCCCTGGAGACCATCACCGCCCGCACCATCAATTCGAAAACTGCGGCCCTGACGCAAACCACAACTTCAGCCAAACAAACGACCAATTGAGTCAGAACGGTGATGCGGGGAAACGTAGCCTCTGTCGCACCTGCGCGCATGAACAAAACTCATGGCGCGGCACACGGTGCACTGGCATGCGTTTGGTCATGCTATTGGTACAGGGTACTGTCGTTGGTTCTCGAATGCCATGGCCACACGCCCAATCCCCGATGATAGCGAGGCATGGCCGACGCAAGCCTTGACGCTGGCGTTGGCGGGTACTGCGGCCCAAATTGCCCAGGAGGCCAACCTCGCCCGCGGCAGCAAGAAAGGGCGGGCAAACCTTGCAGACAGAACTGCTGTGTGCTCTTCGGCACCTCACCTTTCTCAATCGCATACCGTTATCATTCTGACCGCCTGTCTCCTTATCCCTCCCCATCCCCATCACTCCTTGATTCCATGACTCCCTCCTGCCCCGTCTCTTCATCCCGCCCGCCTTCCCTCCCACCCCCTCTCAATCACTTGCGAGGCTACCCTGGCGTTCACTCTCCCGCTCGGGCGCCGTCGAATGCGCTGCCGCGCACGTGCCGCGGCTCAGACCTTCGACTTCCTGCTCTTTGCGCGACCTTGGCCCCTGGAGCGTTCGACCCCCCCCCCGCTGCGACCAGTCCGCCGAGGGTCGCTCTTGACGGGTCCCGGGGGAGGGCCGAAGACCGCCGCCCGACGCGACGCCGGAGGCCCGGGCCACTCCCAGCCCAAGATCGGCTCGGCCCCAACGGGGCCCGGTCCCCGGGGCGCAGCGTGAACGGGCTCGCGGAGCGCACCTGGCCGTGGCGGCGAGAGCGCCCGTGGAGGCCCACGGCGAAGCATGCGGACGGACGACCACCTCTGCGGACAACCGCCTGGGCCCGACGAGGACCAAGTGTGTGTGTGTGTGTTTTTGTGTGTGTGAGTGTGTGTGTGTGGGTGGGGGGGGATGGGTGTGGGGGTGGGTGGGTGTGTGTGTGTGCGGCCATAAACTCAGTGGTCGGGTGCGCACGGAAAACAAAAAAACCTGCATGGAATCTGCGGGTCGAGCGAAAATGCATGACGGGAGTAGAAGATCAAGTCCTGGTTGACGATGCCGACGTGCGTTGAGAGTGCTGTCGTCCAGTGTCGGCGCACTGGCGTTCGAGCGCTGCCTAAGTGAGCCTGGTTTGGGCCATGTGACCCCAAGGAAGATCGTTTGGTTGGCCTATCGCAGAAGAAGGCATGGGCGCAAATGCAAGTCGGGTCTGTGTTGTAGAGGGTACGTGATCACGACGTCGCTCCGACGGTTGCGTTGGCCGCCATGCAGCCGCTGGCCGCACCGGCGCGGGGTGGTTCCTGCTTGCTACTGCAGGCGCGCGGTCGCCAAATCCATGGATCGGGGGAAGCGCCCTCCCCAAAATGCGGCCAGCGCCGCCTCGCTTTGCGGCGGATATCCGCGATTCCCCATCGAAACGGAACCCGTCGCTGCTGTGAGCGTTTTCTGTTTCGGCGTTTCGACATTGGGCGAAAAAGGGGGGGGAAAGGGGGGGGCTGTCTCCAGACCTCTGCTTAGTGCGACTGTTTGGAACCGTGCGTCCTATGGGGCGGGGACTCCACCTGCTCGAAACAGGCGCCAGAAACAGCCAAGATCTACTCCATAGGGGGGGGGAGGGGGGGGGGCGAGGGCCCGCGCTGATCGGCAATACAATGAATAAGAACACGCTCACTAGTCCACGCCCCCTTGATTCGGCGGTGGACAAATCTCCCTTTAGTAAACCTCCATTTAATGAACAAGGCCTAAGACCGAAACCGACGGACCTGGACCCGCAAAAATGACGGCCGCGACGCCCTCTCGCGAACCGAAAACGGCCAATTCCCTAATCGACGTGTCAGGGCACGAGGTCTATCAACCTCCGATTGATCCATGTCTGCGATCGCCTGGCTTTGCAAGCCCACGCGAGGCGAGAGAGAGAAGCGAGCCTCCGCCCGCCCCCCCCCCCCTCGCGTATCCGCTCGCCTCGCCCGACTCGGCGGAGAGCGGCGCATCCGCTCGCCTCGCTCGGGCTCGGCTCGGCTGGTGGAGGCCTCCCAACTGGGGTCGGAGGATCGCGCCGCATCGCCGATGCATCGGCCGATGCATCTGCGGCGCATCGGCGGCGTCGGCGTCGGCGTGGAGGAAGGTCGCGCTCCACAGCGAGCCGCATCGCTGCTGCATATCGGCGATGCGGCACACTCCTCCGACCCCATCTACTCCGACCCCATCTGGGAAGCCAAGGGATGGGCGGGCGGGACCCTGAAGTGCACTGCGTCCCCGAGTGCGGCCATAACTCGCGCGGGCGGGTCGGGTCGGGCGGGCGAAACAAAAGACCGAGAGGGGCCATGACTCGCGCAGGGGGATCGGGTCGAGCGGGCGGGCCTGCACGGGCAGGGGAACCCAGAATCGAATCGACGAGTCGGATCGGGGATCGACATGAATCGGATCGGCGGAAATCGGCTGCCGAATCGGGAAAAGTCGAATCGGCAGAAATCGGCCAGCTATTATGCGTCCAACAAAGATTCGGAGCCCAGATCGGAGTCCCACACCGAATCGACTCGAATCGGAGGCCGTCGAAGTCGAACCGCATCGAACACAGAGGAATCGCAACGAGCCTTGAACGGGGTGGGCTGGCCCGGGCGGGCGGGGCACCTCGAAAGCGCGAGGCACCACCGAGCGGGACCATGCCGCGCGCGGCCTGGTCGTGTCGAGCGGGCGGACCTGCCCGCCGCGCGGGGCCGCGGCTCCGGTGGGGGGGGTGGGCCGTGTCGGGCGGGCGGGCCGTCACGCGCGGGTCGGGCCAGGCGGGCGGGGCACCGACTGGGGGTCGTGGCCTCTGCAGCCAGGCCTCGCCGTGGCCACCGGCTGTTGCAGCAATGCTTATGCTTTCTGGCGCGAGCAGGTTCGAGCCTCGGGGGTCCGTCCATGCAGGCGCCGCACGGAGACAGAGCCACGACCTGGCATGGAGAGGGGCAAGACGGACCAGAGGCAGGCGACCGGTGACAAGAAGTACGTGCTGCGCAGGGCCACCGATACGATCGAGAGCTACAACGCGGAGCTAAACAACAAGTAGTGGCCCTCGGGTCCAACATCCGCGGCCTCCAAGACCAGAAGAAACACCTCACAACGAACAGCGTCCGCAACAAGGCGACGACCTGCGACCACCACAAGAAGAAATTAAGAGACTCGATGACACCGAGATCATGAAGCAACGTATGGAAACCATCAACGAGGCCACCCAAACACTCATCATGACAAAGGGGATGCTCTCACACCGCCCGAAGCAATGGCCACTCTCCTACGACCGCGACTACGAGAAGAGCAAAGTAGATCAACCAGAATTCGATGACCACAAAATCTTACCAAAGAGGCTTCCTCCCGACATCAAGGACGAACACGAGAAGATGCCACCATGAGACCCGAAAGATCCACAGACGTGGAAGGCCTACGGGTAGATCTCGAAAAAGCCACGGTGGAAAACTGACGCCCAAAAAACCTGGACCTGCGGCTGGGTGCCGCACCTCCGCCAGAAGCAGGGAGACGTCAGCCAACCCCAGGCTTGCCCCCGTTCGGATCGCACTGGGAATCCCTGCCCACTCATGCCGCGGGGCTCGAGTGCAGCACCCAGCGGAGACCCAGCTGCCTGAGTGCCCGAGCTGGCCCCAGTCTTCGATATCCTGTTCAAGCATGTGCGTGAATGGGGGGCACACGAGCAGAAGGCCCAAGCGACAAGCCGAAGCAGGAACCTGCCATGCCATTCCTATCCACCTTACGTACCTTGGTAGCAAATCATGGGAACCCATGTTGGCACTTGTGGTTTTCGTGTTGTGCTAATTAGTGCGGTCTAGTGCGATTTAGTGCTGCTCAGCCCGACGCGCAGTCCATGCACTGGAGTCTCAGGTTGCGGCAACGCGCGAGTTTCGAGACGCGCCCTCGGCCTGCTCGGCCCTCTCTCGGCCCGCAGCGAAGCACACAGCTGCCGTCGCCCTCGCGGAAGTGGACATATCTGCAGCTCTGGGCCTCGGCCTCGCGCCCCGAGGGACGTCGAGGCGAGGGCAACTCTGATCACACATCATTCGCATAGCAATGCAGTCGGGGCGTTGACCCAGTAAACCCTAGATTATCCCAAAAGTTAAACTTCGACCTCCCATGGATAACCGAAGGAAAACCTGAAGCAAACTGCTAAACAATCAAGGGACACCGAGCCCCTCCTCAACGAAAAGGGTTCCTTCTTCTGCGCCCCGGCTGTATGGACAGGACCAGAGCCAGTGGAAGCCAGAGGTGGTTTGCGCCTCCAACAACAACCAACCGACCCCAACGACCGACAGCACCACTGCAGGACACCAGCTCTGAAGCTAAAGGCTTATACTGATTCGGTGGAGGCGCACACATTTGAAAAAAACACCAGCACATCAAAAGGCAACTCGCTTCGCATCCTTGCCATGTCCCTTTGAGTCGTGCTTCCGATTATCGTCATGTCTTCCTGTCTGATGTATGTCCCTGTCTCCTTTATTCCTCCATCTCTCCTGTGCGACCTTGTGAGCCCCTCCTCCACCCTCATCTTCATCGCTCCACTGCCCTTGGCCTTAGGTCGTAGGTCCAAGGTTCTGCGAAGTGGAGTGTGTTGGTTGTGGGGGGGGGCAGGGCAGGACGGAGTGAGGATCGAGGATCGGCCCGCCGACTGGCGGCACAATCAGCAACAAGACGGGGACCGCCACCTGCACGCCCAAGCGCCTGTCCCCACAGGCCCGCACGCCTGACTTAGCCACTGCCCCAGGCCCCCACTAGGGGAACGAACAATGACATAAACATAACAACTCGGTGGTCCCGGAGGCGCCGCCAGGGGACCCCAGCGCCGATCCGAGAAACCCAGGCGGACCTCCGAGTTTTTATGCTTATGTCATTGTTCGTTCCCCTACCCGCGCACCCGAACTGGCTCAGTGAAGACCACCCCCTCCTGCGCGGGCCTCACCTCCCGCACTCGGGCAGGCCGAGGGCGTAGAGACCCACCACGGCCCTGCACATGCCCTCGCAAGGACACGGTTTGCAGTGCAAGCCGCTGGCGCCGCTGCTGCGGACCTGCTTTCCCTGAGCGCCTTCACCTTTTTTGCGCCCCTCGCTCACCGCTCACCCCCCCCTTTCTTGCCCCTATACCTCCTGCCCCGCCCGCCCTCACCTCCCACCCCTCCTTTCTCCGTCCCCCCCTCTCCTCCCCCCCTCTTCCTCTCCTGACGGGGCCCTGGGACACACAACGTAAATATACAAATAACAGGATCCCCCATATTTTCACATATTTCCAGGGTTTTTGTCTTCCCCCCCACTTCCCATGCTTTCCCATATCATATTCTCCTGGGAGTCGACGATTCATTGTTTTTTTGTGTTTTTCCCCTCCTGACTCTTCCCCTGCGGCGCGAGGCGCCGGCCGGCGGGGCGGGGAAGCCGGCGATCGCCTGGCGGCGGGGCGCCGTAGCCCGGCGGTGGAGCGCCGTAGCCGGGGGGCGGCGGGAAGCCTGCGGGCGCTGGGGCGCGGGCGAGCGACGGGGGGGAGGTGTTCTTTTGGACTGGCTCCTCGCTGAAGCATGCGTTGGCGGCGCGCACAAGGGGGGTAGGGGGAGGGGGGTAGGCTTCTTAGGAGGCTGCTTCTAAGAAGCCTTCCCCCCTCCCCCTACACCCTTCTGCGCGTGGCCAGATGCGGCTCGTCAAGACTGAGCGGCGCTGCAGCTAGCAGAATATCAGTCAGACTACAAAATTCGGCACGGGCACGAAGGACACGAGGACAGGGAGGAGAAGGGAGGGAGGGCGGAGGGGAGGTCGCCTCAGGTGAACCATCTCCAGAGCATGCCGAAGAGAAGGGGGTGAGGACGGGGAGGAAGGAGCAGGGAGGGGGGGGAGGGGGGAAAAACGAGGGGGGAGGAGGACGCAGGCAGGATAATGCAGCAAGAAAGGTGGCGAGGTGTGCAAGGAGGGGGAAGAGGAGCGCACAAGCAGACGAACACGAAACACTAAGTCCAGGGGTAACGGATACTACGGGCAGAAGTTGGGGGAATGTGGACATGAGCAACTGTGTGAAGGTTGTTTGTGCTGACGCCTGTCTCGCGAGTACTTCAGCTTGGAGGCTGGTGCATCATCGGCGTGGGAGTATACTGCCTGTGCTAGGCACATTTGGATCCTTTCCAACATGCACCTGTCTTCCCCCTCCTCCTCCTCCTCGTCCTGATCCTCCACCTCGTCCTCATCCTCCTCCTGCGTCTCTCCCTAGACGCTTGGGCCGTCCTGTGTGTACTGCCTGCCGCTGGCGAGGAGGCGGCTTCTGCTATTCTTATAGTTCGTTGTCGTAGGTGGCCCTGGCGAGGCTCTTGGGCCGCACGTTCAGGTCTTTGTCCACCAGGCCAGTCCAGCCCTTTAAGACGAGCTTATGCCATCGAATCGTCTGTAAGACACAGCGTCTGCGGCATGTGGACAAGTCAGGCCGAGTCGGACCTAGGTCAGAAGAGCATCGCGCAAGAACATGGGACCCTCTGCCTGATGAGATAATGTGTTGATTAGCAACAAGATCTCTTTTCATCTTGAGCCAAAATGGGTACACGGAGGAGGGTGTCAGAATCACTCCTCCTCGGGCCTGGCCGCCAACCCGGCCAGGCACGACATGCGTCGTACGCGGGCGCGTCCAAGCCGACACGCCCATCTCCACGTCACACGCGGGCGCGTCCAAGCCGACGCGCCCATCTCGTCAGCCAGGCTGCGGCCATGCCGCGAGCCCCTCACTTCACCCGTCCGGTGCGATCATACCGCCACCGGCGGAAACTCATCCAGCCCCACAGGTAGCGGAGCATGGATTCGATCCACTCCTTCACTTGATATCCTTCTGGGTCGAACTCGGTGCCCGATCCCAGATGTTGAGCGTCGCCATGTGTCTCCTCAAGAGAGATCCACCCACGCTCTTGGTCAGCACGTCCGCGACATTGTTCTTACCAGGAACCGCGGCGATCGAGAGGTCGCCCTTGCCCACGCGCTCCTGGATCCACAGGTATCGGGATTGAACATGTCGCATCTTCCCGAGACCTCGCCGTTGGACGTGGCCCCGGGCCGCCGATGAGTCTGAGGCGAGCTCCACCTTCAGGTCCAGCCCCCAATCTGCGAAGAGGCTGTGTAGACCCAGGCCCACGCTCCCGCCCTTCACCAGGGCGTAGTACTCGCTCTCCCCACTGCTCAGAGAGACCGTCGACTGAAGATTACTGCCGTGCTTGATGACGTGATGCCCCAGCATCGCCACGAAGCCTCCGGTACTTTTCCGAGTGACTGCGCAGCCCGCATGATCGGAGTCCACGTACACTCGGATCTTGTCGAACATCTTCTGCTCCGTGAAGACCGTCACCGTACTGGGATGCCGCTTAAGGTAGCGGCCAACCCTCTTGAGCATGAGCCAACTCGCCTCCGTCGGCGTCTGCATGGACCTGGCGAGCGTCTTCGATGCCTCTGCCAAGTCCAGCCTGTCCTGAGACAGGTAGGCTACCCTCATGGTGAGGGATCGGAAGCGCGAAGCTTCCGCCGTTCCCAGCGCCGCCGACTTCGCGTCCATCATCTGCTTGTCGGCGCTGCGCTTCTCCATCGGCGTGTCCACGCCGTTGGCCTTGCTGAGACCCAGCTCGTCGATCACGATCTCTGCGTGCCGCTTGTCCGGCTCGATCATCGCATGCCGGCAGGGTCGGCCACCGCCAGGCGGAACTCCCGCACTGACCTCGATGACCCGATTCAGGAAGACCGCCTGCTTGTCGTCGCCCTCGTCGAAGCCGAGGTTCGCAGTCTTCTTGAACTCGTACTTCTTGCCTAACGTGGCTTCGAAGCTGTCGATGTCCTGCTGCTGAGCCAGCACCGCGAAATCGTCGCCGTGCCCCAGCAGCCTCGTCTCGTCCACCTCCTTGTAGAAGACCGCTGGGCATGACACGCCCGCCTTGTAGCCGTGTTCCTCCAACAGCTCCGTGTAGTCGCCCTGCCAGATCTTGCTGGCGTCCTGCGTGCCGTACCAGGACTTGAGGAGTAAGCCACACTTGTCCTCACCGTACTCCTTGCGACTCTCCTCCTCCAGCTCCACGAAGATCCTCCGCTGCGCCTTCCCGTAGAAGTGCGCCCTGCTGATGTCGAAGAAGCCGATCTTGAAGTTGCCCGGCTTCCTGCCCTTCCTGCGAAGCGACTCCTGAATGTGGAGCGGTGCTTCCCGCGTCCACGTGACCATCAGCGAGACCAGCGACCGCATGGCCTCCAGCGGAGGCATTGCCGAGAAAACCTCGGACGCCTCCAGCTGCTCGTCAGGACGCTTCTTCGCCTTGATCTCCTTCACGACGAGCCTGCTCCTGTAGTTGGGCCTCTCCGCGTCACCCTTGTTCGTGTCGACCCACTTGAGTGGGATGGGCGGACGCCCAGTCTCAGCGAAAGCCTGAGACCTCGGGACGATCTCGATCAGCTCCTGCTTCTTGACCCACTCGCGCTCGACCGCGCGAGCCTGGGCCACAAGGCCCGCCTCCAGGTAGCCGCCATTGACGTCGTCCCAGTAGCTCGTCCAGTCCCCGGGCGGCACCGCCGCGTCCACAGGGACTGGGCCCGACTGCTGCACCTGGGCGGTGCTGAGCTCCCCCACGTCATTCAGCGTGTCCTTGAGCTCCTCCAGCACCGCCTCCACCAACTTCGGTGGATAGACCTTCGCAAACCGCGCGATGCCGCCCACGAGCGTGATGTGGCGATGCCACTCCGCGCGTCCGTCCACATTGCTGCAAGTGCCCTGCAGTCTCCGGGCTAAGCCTGGGTGGTTGGTGACCCACCCGGTCTCCTTGCGCACGAACTCCTCCTGGCCACTGCGTGGGTTCGTGAGCTTCATGCCCCACCGACACATGGGGCCTTTGACCGTGAAGACTCCTGGATGCGCGACCAGCTCCTTGACGATGTCCTCATTCCACGATCGCGCGCTCCAGGGATGCTCATGCAGGAAGTACCTGCCTGGCTTCCTGAGCTGACGCCAGTAGGCGTCGACTGCCACCTTCAGGTGGTGTCTGGCCTCCTCCATCTCAGCCGCCTCCTGCTCATCGGTCCTGAACTTGGCGCTCAGGCCCCTCAGCAAGCTGAACTTCTCGCATGGAGGGGACCCCGTGAGCAGGATGGGATCCATCCGCTCCTGCTGCTCCTCGAGCTCCTTGACATCCTCGGGTCGCCGCAAGTCCCACGGCGTCCCGTCCTCCTTGAGTTCCTCCAGGTCCGCCGCGAAGCCCGGGCGCAGCTGAAACTCCGCCGCCCGAGCCGAGAACCGATGTGGCGAGTACACCTCTGCCACGTCCACGGCGCCCAGCTGCAACGCCGATAAGGCGATGCTGTCCACCTCTTCGTCGGCGATGTCCACGCCGACGCTGGCCCAATGGCCGCTGACCTGCTCGCGAACGAGCGGAAGCAACTCCGCCTTCGCTCTCGTCAGCACTCCGAGCTCGACCAGCTCGATCGACGCCACGTCGAGAGCGAGCACCCGCATGTGTCTCCCCTCACTGGCGTTCCACACGACTGCCACTCCAGCTGGCAGCTGAGGTCCTTCCGCTGGCGCCGGCTGCGCCGCGAGATCCTCCATGTCCACCGGTACCGGCACGTCTGCCGGCTGTGGATCACCGCGCTCGAGGGCCTCCGGCACGTCATCCGGGGCCACCTCCGCCAAGCGCTTCAGCCGCGACCTGGTCGCGGTCATGTCGACATCCTCGGCGGCCTCTGCCGCTCTCACTGCTCCCGAACTGGAGCTCGCTCCTCCTGAAGGAGCCGCCACGCCGGAGCCTGATGCTCCCGGCTGGCTCTCTCGCATGCGCGCCGCTGCGGCTGGCGCTGCTGCCGATCGGCTCGCGGCCGGCGCCGACGCCGCCGCTGCCACCGGCTCGGTGATCCTCCGAGCCGTCTTCGGCGGAGGGGTCCCTGCCGCGGCCGCTGCCGCCGGGCGGACTCTGGCCTCTTGGCCCTGCCTCCGCTCTCGATACTGGCCGGTCCTCTCCCGGCCTGCCTCCTCAGCGTCCAGCGCTTCGAAGATTCTCTTGCTGCACACCGCGTTGTGCGCATGGCCAGCCAGCACCTTGCCGTGCTTGGCGATCGAGACGCACCCTGGGCATCCCGGCGTTGCGCCCAGCCGCTCGACGTCCGCCTTGAGAACGTACATCCTCCTCGGCGCCTGCGGCTGCGGCGGCACCACCACAATCGGTGGCGGACCGGCCTCTCCCGGTCCGACGATGGCTCGCGGCGCACTGGCCGCACGCGGAGCCACGTCCCACGGCAGGCCCTTCAGGCTGTCCCAGCCCGCCGTGATCCACTTCTCGCTCTGCGGCAGGCTGCGAAAGCCGACCGCCTTCTTCACACCGTCGCTCGTGATGACCATCATCGAGCCGTCGCGCGGGTGGTGGCCGATGTAGCGAGCCTCCACCATCTGCTCCTCCAGCGCGTTCTTCCTCGCGCGCTCCCCGGCGAACCGCACCATCAGGCGCTCACCGAAGAG